AATATCGCGTCAACGAAGTGAAGTCCCGTAATTCCCCTAGCAAACACTAGGAACAACTTCACTGTACAACCCAGAAGTCAATTTCCCTACAACAGGACAATAACCCGTCCCGTTAGGGAATTTCTCCATCGACGGCGTAAATACGCAAAATTCGCTGTACACAGAGTCACCTCAAAGCTATTCCGACGTACTGTGTTTGCGCTCCTATCTCGCCGATGCGACAGGAAAGACAATGAAACACCATTGAATAAGCACACGCGGACAAATATAGCTACTGATGATGATGATTAGTTTCATGACGGTAAAACACTTTGAGAACGGCCTTGCGATGGGTAGCCTATGACGTTAGAGGTCATCTGTTTGGCTATTCAGATTACCATTCGTTTAACGTTTCATTCACCCCCTACAGATTTTTTATCGTCCGTTTGTCCTAAGGACACGTGGGTTTGGCCACAAGCGGGGTCATCCCGGAACAGGAAGGAACTGGCAGTCACGTTGCCAATAAACCTACTGTGTAGCAAAAAACAGCGATCGTACGACCCATAGGCAGTTATGACCTTACGAACCACCGAAGCATGCACTCGTGCGAATACTGGCGTTTTCGTAACTTAGCTTTTAACTGAAAATAACTGCAAATCTAGCATGCATGAGTACGTAAATATAACCACCGGGAGTTTTATATCGCTAATGCAGTGTTGTGTCTAAATAGAAGAATCATACCGACACGTCTAATTAGAATGCACTACTAACAGTACTCTTGTTTTATGAGTCAAATACTAGAATACATGTATTTATATTGGTGCCTCAATGAAAAATGACTTCAACGCGAAAAGAATTGGCAATATTTTTCATCATTTTTGCTTTGATTCAAAACACGTCGCCCCACAGAGTTCAAAGACTTGGCGGAACATATTAGTCACTGGATAATATTTAGATGGATTAATATAACAGGTATATATATGGCTACAGCCAGGCTTTTAACAGCTGTAGAGGCCTTTTGGGATCAGTGCAACCTCTCAGGTGATATTTAACTTAAATCAGTTATACAGAAATTGCTGTTGATTAACTTAAGCTCTATTCGCGTGTAGCGTACATGTATTGTTTATATCAAGCGTGTACATACATACGATCCGTTGGTCATAAATAAACTGGGTTCGAATTTACTGTGCGCCATACCCGATATTTTTTTGTGGCAGTCTATACGTGCGTGTGGTTACATTAGAATTTGCTACTTTTTCCAGTAAACACAGACTGTGGCGTTTGAAAACAGGAAAATTGATAAACCACACTGCTATCGCTTAGAAAGAGGAGCAGACAAGCGCTACATATAATTTACCAGTGGGAAGGCCAACGCGGAAGTAATAGATTAACGATTATAGCAACATTGCGTCGCGCTTGGACATTGGGACATGAGCAGATCATAAAGACAGTGGAGCGAGCACGCTACGCTGGATTTGACAGGACCCGCCGCTGTTTCCACCATGTTTTCGACAATTCTTGTCATCTGACCGCATGATAAATATGGAGGTGCGCACGGAGTCGGCGCATATGACGCACTAGCAGCAAATTTAAAAGCTTTACATTTAGCTTTTGTCGATAATCACTCCGAATATATAAAGGTCTATAAGAAGACTACATAATAGCTAGAAGTTATAGCAATGGAAGCAAAGATGTTATTCATATCAAGCAAAATCCAGTTGCCAAAATAAAAGAAAAGAGTGCAATCCGATAAGAGGGATCGACCAGAATAAGTGGCTAGTAACTAATTGGACTACTCCAGACACGAATACCGGGGTAAAGTGCTTCAGGTTATTTTTACTGACTGTACGCTTTAAATATTACTGAATTAAAGTGCGCTGTTGTTAAAAGATTAATACGCAGGACCGTCCAAACGGATCCCAGATACAATACACGAAAAAACCAGATCTAAATTGTGCCGTAGCTATTCATATAATTGCAGAGATTAGGGTATGTGAGAATCATGATGCACTTTATGCATCTATCACAAATGCTTAGTGTCAACAATTTCAGTTTATGTAGCGCTGCAACAAAATCGAACTGAGACAGGCCAGTGGCAATATAGGTTAGACACAAACGAATGTAGGCGATTCTTGCAATCATGCGCAATCAAAGAGTCCTGACAGGAAGTACGCTTACGCCCGAAGATAGACCACTTGACGTGTCCCTAACTTTCGTAGGCAAATGGGCTACCAGTGCACCATTGCAGAGACTGGGGATCCAGACACAGAAAGTAATTTTTTTCCAATTGGATCGGAAAAAAACGCCAATCTTGGACACAGATCAGAAGCAGGACTTACGCCTAAACGTTCATAATATTGGAATCGAAAGTAAACGCAGCATATTTCTTAGAGATAGCTGGGAAGTGTTGCTATGTAATGAAACAAAAAGTGAGTAAACAAGTAATTATAGGAAACGAGATAGCGCATCGCGATTGGGTGGAAAATGACGATAGTTTCGCATCACTCTTGTCATAGGCTACACAAAACTGGCCGAAATTGAAAACAGCATTTAGTTAAAAATAGCCTAAAAATTAATTGTTAAGGAACTGTAAATAAACGCTAATTCAATCCGCGCTAGAAGTAAAGATCGGCAGTGGTCATATAGCGGCAAGATATACAACGAACGTTTGTCGATAATGAGAGAAATATAAAACAATGGGCAACGATATGGTATAACTAGATAGCATACGTCGCTTATAGGCATAAGGCAATGCACACGGAATTGAAGCGTACCGTAAAACGTTATATCCGGAACAGAACAGAAAATTAATTAAAAATAATTAAACATTTCTTCATATCAAAGATAATTTAGCTCGATACATTAGTCATATCTCCGATCCATAAATAACTATGACGCTAAATAGCAACAGAAATGATTAGGCAGCAATGGAACGCAAAACTTTTGCCACTAAAAAGCTATTGTTTCCCATACAGAGCAGTATCAAGACACCTTAGGCCAGCACGGGCAAACTATAGCAAGGCACGTTCCTCAATGTTATTTTGAGCTTTGTACACATACTCAGATGATTGTCGTACTTCTTCCGATCTCTGTAGCTAAAACTAACTATTCACGGCCATGGATTATTCAACTAAAAAGTAGTTAAATAATTACCTTTGAGATGAGAGATGATCCATCTGAAGTGCGATGCTCTCTCTACACGATTCCGTACGTCTATTTAAAAAGCAGTGAGCTTTACGGAAGTACGCGATAACTGGACATTCAGATAAGATCACTGCGTATTCGCTTGGCGATGCCTCGTCTATCGCCTAACAAATGCAGTTTTCAAAAACGTCGAGACTTTTTTGCACGAAAACGTTTTTCGAACTTCGAAGGCGTACATCTCGTAAAGGATATGAATAATGATTAAGAAGCGGTCTGATAGAATATTAAATCATTATATAGAGCCGTTTCAGGCAAAGCTTACTGGTAAAGACATTGGTTACATGGTGGACATTGGACAGGAATAACCCGATGATATCAAATTAGAAAAAAATGAGAGCACTCTTGCTTTCAGTTGCGAAGTTCTATACAACAAATAAAATTTCGTACGCCTTCCAGAAATGAAAATCAAGATTGGCGCTGAGATATCTGTACATTCGATACTTATATGACGTGACCAACATACATATATATATATATATAGGCATAAATTTGTGGTAAAATGTTTGCGTAAATTGGATTTGGCGTTGGCAAAAAGGTGTTTGGTCCATGTAAAAATGTGTTCTGTAAGCCTGACGAGTTTCTTTCTATACTTCATATGTTTCCTTCCATCAATGTGTGATCGATGCATTACTTACTTAGCTATTACACTGACTATCTACGAATAGATACATTTTCTATCATCATTTTCGTTTCCATCTAATAACTAAGCCGCGTTCAAGTGCTAACTATTTTTACATTTATTGTTACTATCCTCTTTGTTCTTAATAATTGCTCTTCACGTGGTTATTGGTGTCAATTGATACTTCATTAGTGCCCTCAAAGTCCACAAGAAAGTGTGTGCGGCTGATGCCAGTCACGTCAATAAAAAAGCGAAACAAAACACGAACTAATAAATTCAATATATTTCTCCCAGTTATCTTCTACAACTGGAAATTTTCGTATAGCTAACTATCAGATCATAAAATATTATGATCGGCCGGAAATTAGGTATGGTGAAAGCTGAAAGGCCAATTAAGATTACTAGGTCTTTTTAAAAGTCTTACACGGGTCGATTCCTACACACTTGTTAGGTATTTTTTTGGGGATTTACTGCGACAAACACTAAATCATCAAGTCATATACATGAACATTTACAGCATTACCTTTCCAACCAAAAGCAGCGTGCTAAATTAGTATTATGTTGAAATCTGCTGATGTTAGCAATTACTATTTTTTCTACTTTCCAACACGTGGTTTTACTCTGAATACATGTACGCACAGAATTCCCGTTTCAATATATGCTATTTTTTCCCCGTAAGACTTTGACATTTCTTCAATTCTACGTAGACGTTTTTTCACTGTAGTAGGCCATACCACGCTCAGTTATGCACAGACTACTGCGGAGGTCAGTAGTGGTACAAATCACAGCAATAAAATGGAGAACTTTAAAAAACTACCTTCTTTCAATGCAGGGCGCCAACGAAAAGGCAGCGAAGACAATCTTACTTGTTGATTGGGTTGATTGTGAATGAGGCCGCAGACTTATCAACTCCACCTTGAAGAATGATGGTTATAAAAGTAATATTATTGGTATAGAATATCAATGAATTATAGAAAATATATATATATGCATATATATATATATATATATATATAATATTTGCAAATGGTCAGTCTTGGATAATATCGCCGTGGTATCGTGTAGGAAGATGACGCATAAACAGCGACAAGGCACACGCCTTTTTAACGTTCGTCTACCCTTTTGAATTTTTTGTTCTTTCAATTTAATTTCTGCCTTACCCTATTGTTCTTGCCTCGATCTAGAAGAAAAAATCGTGTTTAATAAACCTTCCCTGTATTATTCTGTTATTTATCCTTGTCATAATAATAGTTATTATCATTATGATGAAATTCAGTGGTATGGTATTTTCGATGAAAGAAGTCGCGTCCCTTTACACTTATCAAGCATCATCGTCACAGTGCCGATCCCCTTTGATAATCATACACATTTATATATTTGTCATCATCTCTATTTTACTTTTTGCCACTGTCAGCTTCTCGCTTCTTCGTTGTTGTTGTATGCTATTCCACAATTTTTTGTGTGGATGTGTTGAAGTGTGTTTTATCTTATAGTGCTTCTTCTAATATTTACAAATCAACGGGGCAAAAACGAGGATGGGCGGATGAAAATGTGTACATTTCCGGAAGACACATTCCGTAGTATTATATATTCATATCCATCATCATCCGCTTTTTATCAATATCGCCTCTCATCTGCTGCCGTTGAAGATTGTCCGTGTACGGCGTCTTTTCTTACTTATTTTTTTACAAATAGCAGTTAACTTTCTCCTCGCGTCACAAAATCTTACAACATTGTTCGCTGTTCCACCATACTTGCTCATCCGTATTTTTTTCGTTCAATTCTTCGTTCACCTTTTCTTTGTTTTGTTATTTTTAACTTCCGCCTCAAAGTCGCTCACGTATACATAAGCCACTTTCTGTACAGCACTGCGTCATCAGAAAATACCCCAAAATTTTCTGTGTTCATTGTGTGAGAATGTAATTTTTCACTCAGTCGCTTATTGAGGACGTCGATGATCTAACAAAATCACGTGAGGGTCAGGCGTCACATCTGCTAAGAAACTGTGTTATTTCGTCACCAGAATAGCCCTTCTCATGTACCTCGCTCCAGTTATCTATATTGACAAGCGCTAGGTAGATTAAGAAAGAGCTTGCCGATTGATTAATCCACACACAAAGGACCGTTCATGACATTGAAAAAAAAAATAGAGAATGTAACGTACCGCCACCCATAGGCCTCTCTACAAATCGCATTTCGTTTTGCCGTAGGATAGTAGGCCTTGGCCAGCCTATCTACCTGCTTCTTGAGAGAATTAAGAGTGTAGAAAGGCGCAACGCACACCTTTTAGGAAGTAGCAGTATGAAACTCAGGAAATGCATCTGCTCTATGCACTGTGAAGTTAACAAATGTTATGACGGTGTTTCGACATAACTGCGTAAACATGAACTTACCACGAAGCGTGACTATAGATAAAGGAACTACAGGAAGATGTCGACAGCCACATCTACTTTCACTATATGGACCTCATTCGAGTGGTGGAAATACATTTGAATTTCAAACGAAACTTCGAATTTCGTGTTTCTTTGTAAATGTGCAAAATAGAAAGACATTAGTCAGTACCCAACACACGAAAATTTTACACTGTAGTAATGTGTATAGACATAAGGCTAGCGCGATTTTGTTGTGCTAGCGACCCTATCTGATTTTTATATCTGGTCTGAACCCAGATATAGTGGCTTTGACCCCACTTCACCAAACAGGTAAAGTCTCCATCAACAAGTAGATATGCAAATAGATGGTTGTTTTATTTTTAGGATGTGTAGCCTATGTTCCATATAAAAATGGTTTTATATGCTTTTCTTTTTCTTCTTCCTTTTGTTTTTTGCTCTATTCATTTATGGGAGGAATGTAATCAGGTGCGGAAAGGGGACAACTTTAGGATGAATCAGTCGACATGGCTGATTTTGAGGGTGTAGTTAAGCCTCGTTGGACTTCTAGTAGCTGCTCTCGTGCCCCGCGAGGATATAAAGGTTTGACGGTCCACTCGGCTTCTCTACCGCGCGGCTTTCGACAACGATAACGCGTTCCCCAATCTCGCAGCCCGGGTCAGCGGCTGTGAAACCCAGGTATTTGCTGTTGTCTGCTGTGAGCACGCGCATGATACGAGTGGGGTCGTCGATCTCTTGGACGACGTCACCAGTTAACAGGCTTTTGCCCTGCATCCCTGCAATAGTTGAGCGAAAAATCCCAGAGATAAAAACGTAAGTGCTAGTAATAATGTTAGAGTTGTCATTTACATTGTTAAATGTAGTTTGGTTATGTTTATTCGTGAACGTCGTACCCTTTTAAAACAAACGAAGTACTATGTATTATTATTACATAGTATTGTAACTATAGAAAGGCTTATCTTACCATGACTGTGGAAGGCTAACACAGAATCTGAAAGGCAGACAATCTGCTCAAGGTTGAAGTCGAATTCAAAATTGGCTGGTCTCATGGGCTGGTTAAGCTTGACACGGCCTCCCAAGTTGATAATTTTTACCTCTCGTTCCATACATACTAAAAGTTCGTCCTGCTGTAACTGTAACGCGTTTAACGCATTTCCTTTGGCCGGGATCATCGTGTCGCCGTCTTCATCATCCGGTGATCCTCCGATCGAATCGATTAGGTTTAGATCAATCATCTCTAACTTCAGCTGATTTGGGTTCGATGTCGCATGGGCACCAATGCAGATAATTGGATACTCGGCGTCTGGTGACACGATCATCTCACAAAAACGAATACGGTGTGGTAGAGCTAGATCAACTTGTTTCACATGCATGAACTTCGCCAATGGGTTGTACCATTGCATAAGAAACACCCCGTGCTGAAGCACTCCGCACAAGTACTTGAAGCCGTTATACGGGTTTCGGCCAACACAGCATTTAATGCAGCCTTTGGTGTCCTGCACCTTGGTACTCGTTGTATACCTTCGAGGGACAAAACGCTCGGGTATCCGATTTAACGAGAACGCTGTCTGACTTTTCCGGTTATGTAGCGCGATCAAGTCGTGGCGATACAATTGGGTATTCTTACCTGACAGCGACATTAGTACGTCGCTGATGACAAAAAGCCATATTGTTCTTCGATTAAAGATCTGATCGAGACAAGCGTCCGCTAACTCGTTTAAGTTCAATGTATATATACCCTCTTCGCATCCGAGTATAATATGTTGGTCCCTAGTTTCTGGATGAATCCAGCTAGCCGCTGAGTAAACCTTAAGCGGGCACTCGTTGAAGATTTTTGAGAGGCAGGCTCCCATGTGAACTTTCGGCGTAGGTGGTAGGCCATTAGTGCTTATTCGGTTCACAGTTTCATTGGCGCCGCCGCCTTGCGGTGAACTCTTCTCTGCGTCAGTTTTCTTTCTTCGTAACCGAGGCGGAGGTTCTGGACCTTCGCTCTCTGCATGCGTTTCATCATCACTTCTAGGTGGTGACGTCGTCGGAACAGGCGGCACCGCTTCTTTGTGCTGCGCCCACTGTGGGTTTCCCATTAAGCTCTCTCCCATTGGAAGCGTTGCTCGTTGTTGTAGTTCCTCTTCGACGACTTCAAGGAGACTCTTCTCCACATCACGAATCAGAAAAGATTCCTCTGGCGATGTTGGAGTCTCCGGCGAGGCCACGGGCATCTTTTGGTCCTCCCGGCCCCTTGAGGAGACAATCTTCTGCGGGACATTATTAACCATTTCGTCTTCTTCCTCGTCGTGTTGATACTCGGTCGCCGACGGGTTTCGGACCCTCTCGATGAGATTAATGATAACTTCTTTGCTCAACTCTCCTATCAAAAACGGATGAAGAAGCATGCGATCAGCTGTTGGACGCTTCTTAGGATTCTTAGTCAAGGCCAACTTAACAAACCCGTGGAAATCCGTCGACCAGTGGTCTTTGTCTTTGAGCGTTGGCGGTTTAAAATTGGACTTGGACATGAGGAACAAAGCCCTCATTGGATGCAGATCAAACATGGGCGGCTGTAGCTCGGCCAGTTCAATGGCTGTAATGCCAACGGCCCAAATGTCACATTGTTGATTATACCCTCCTTTCCGTTCTACGGCAGCAACTTCCGGTGCCATCCAATATGGGGTTCCGATAAAAGATTTTCGCTTAGCTATCGTTGACGTGATTTTCGCAGAAACTCCAAAATCTGCTAACTTTACCCCGCCATCTTCTGTTAAGAGAATATTGGCTCCCTTTACATCTCGGTGCATCATGTTTAGACTGTGAAGGTAGTATAGACCGCGAAGTGTTTCACGGCACACGTATGCAATTTGATTTTCTTTCAGCGGCCCTGTAATGTGATAAATGTCCTGTAACGATCCTCCCCCGCAATACTCCATGCAAATCCACAGCTTATCCCGCCGTAAGTAGCTGCCGAAATAGGCCACGATGTTTGGATGTAGGCAGTCCTGCATCATGACAATTTCCTGCTGGATAATAGCGAAATCATCTCCGGGCTCGACCTTGATCACCTTAATGGCTGCCATTTCGTTCGTAGACAAGCGTTTGGCCTTGAAAACATCTCCATACGTCCCGCTTCCGACCCTCTGTATGAGTTGGTACTCATCGTGAGGGTTTCGCCGAGATATATCAGCGTGACTCGAGGAGCCCGATGGCAACGCCATCGTCTCACTCTGAAAGTTAAACCCAAGCCCGTCCCCGGCCCGTTATGAATCCCACTATTTGCGTAATTTGTAGCAATATAGGCAATTCCACTCGTCGATACGGCCATCCTTAGAGGCACGTCCCAAGCCTAGTAGATTCGACGTTCCTATTTGCCATCTGTAGCCAAATCAAAGAACAGTAAAAACAACGGAGCTTATTAAAATCGTTTTCTGATTCCTGAATACGAAGGTGGACCTTTTTGATAGACCAAACCATAGACATTTTTGACACATTACTTTTTAAAGTTACAACGAGCACTAATTATTTTGTAACATGCGTCATTTTTTGTCTTCTCAAGTTTGCCTTCTACGTTCTATTTTTCAGTACATATTGTTTAGAAACCTTATATGCCGTATATAAGAGACACTTGTGAAGAAGAGGATGTTTCAGGTCTAGTGTCTTCGTAAGCTTTCTCGCCTGTTCAGTCTCTAACATGGACATGCGACAAAGGGTACCCTAACAAGAATTGTTCTGTCAAAGAGCACGCAGGTTTAATAAAATTGACAGTTCAATTTTAGGACATTTATGCGTATGTACCGCAAGACGGTTTTAACAGGACTGTTATCAGAAAAGGTCAACATCTACGAACGTAGCTCAGCTTTTTGTCGCGAGGAACTCCCTACGCCATACTGAAAAACAAAGTAACGGTTCGAATGCATATAGTTAAACTATAACCTTGTTTCCAGTTTTTCGAGATGAGCCAAGTACTAATGAATGTACATGTTTTTCGTATGAAGTGTATCATGAGTGTCACAGATACACTAATTCCGCGAGGAAGCTGTATGTGCCCATTTGAGTACGCCCAGGTTGGTCGCACTCTGACCGGGACACCAAAAACCATTTTCCACCTTGTGAATAGTATTTTAACACGAGCACGCATTTTTTTACCTCATTCAATCTGTAATACATAGTATTGGAAAAACTGGCTCGCAAATACGAATCAGTTGAGCTTCGGTAAAAAAAAAATGCAAACATTAAGTTATCAGAACACCTGCAACGAAACTCGCCATTGGAAATTGAGGCCTAATTCAAAATGACAAATGTAAATAAACGAAGTTTACTATGGGCAGGCAGTGCACACGCATAAATCATATCCTTAGAACGTATTTCTTATACACTGAGTTGTGCTTATTTTTCAGTCAACAAGTTAGGTACCATCTATGGCAGTAAAACGCATACCAGATTAGGAGCCGTACCATTGTACCTATATTCATTGTTAGGGAGCAAGTAAACAGATGGCGCGTGTATGCGTTGAGGATACTCCATAGACTCGTGGATAGGTTGATACAACAATAGACAGTTCTCGCCATATCGCTACTTTTCCCAATTTCTAGTTCGATAGATAGCACTCAAATCAGATACCCTATGACTCTTAAATCATAGTGATTTGCATCCCAGTCGATTTCAAGTGGCGACTAAGACAATCAGCATCTACAGACAATTTTTTTTTTTTTTTTTTTTCAAATTTAGGATTTTCTTTGCAAACTAACGCGGCACGAATGAAAACTTGCACTAACTATTGGTGCCCGGGTCCCCCGATAGGTCTGTGACATTTAGAATATGGCGATTGCACGCAAACCCCTGTACATCTTACCAAGACAGATTTCGTACGATCAATGAGCTAGCTACCTTATGAAGAACATGTAAAATAACGAAAACAACAATTGTGTTAATAATAAATTATTTTTACTGCAAGAGAGGATGCTATTGTGAATTGTACTGGTCTGATTGATATGAGCTGCCCTGTCGTTCCATATCGTGTGGGACGCAAAATAGATTCAGTCAGATACGCACACGTACAAAGAAGCGCATGTCCGTGTCTCCGGCTATTCAGATTCGCCATGGTGGCTTGACTAAAATATTAGATCGTAATAGACCCGACATCAAACCAGCCGGCTTCTCCAGCCAATCCCGACAAAGCTGTCAAAGTTTTTCGCGCACAAGACCTCATAAGACGATGCGGATTGCGTTCTGCTGCGTCGTGCGTTCGTTACCGCTATCAGCAGGGCACCGACACTATTGAAAACAGTACCTTGAAACGTTAGTCTATTTCGAGATGGATGACACGTACTTTCCTATTACTGTTCAACCAATAACAGGTCAGCAAGAATTTCGTCGTAGTTTCAAATAGCACACCATTATGTACACATGATACATACTCTTACATTTGAGCTGAGAATAAAGAAACAAGCCAATCGGTCACTATTTAAGTATAACTATCGAATCGTTAAAACCGATGCGACATTCGTGATAATTGGATGCTTCAATATGACGCCCTTATAATCAGTTGCCTCTGAATGTGTTATAACTCCTAAGTACTTGATGCTATATCTCCAGCTGCTGGTGCTATTCCCGTTTTGACACTGGAACGTATAGTAGTTGGCTCTACGGTTACGGCCCACAGCTGCCCGTTACCGCTTGGGCTTAAAATCAACATATTCAAGACATTGCTCTCGAACAGCTGTTCTGAGTAGGAGAGCAGATATATTCGAAGTTGTGGGTTCCAAAATTGGGCCGCCACTTTATTACGCAATCAATTAATTCTAAAAGGCAATGACATGTTCCGCTTGTTGAGACCTATATAGTAGCGCATCATTATAGGTAGTATTGCGCGAATCTGTGAGCCGTACCCACACAACAATGACCTCGGTTCCACTGTCTGTACGGTTAGAATCACCCATCCGTTTGCTATGTTCGCTGACGAAACAAAAAAAAACCTAGCGAACACACTTCACGCATTTGTTTTCGTGATTGACTGTTTCAATTGGACTTCTCAAAAGTAGCCTGTGCCATGGAACGCTGGATAGAGAATTGTTATCGGAAAACTATTGGTTAACCATTGTCGTCGAAAGGCTGAGCGATACAACTGAACTCCAGATGCCCTATCGTACAGATGGCAGTAGAACAGCGTAGACGAGAATAAACGTGTCATTCGTATACACACAACTAATTTCTAGACTATTTTGCTATCAGTATTTCAAATGCATCCTAGTAACATAAGTTAAACAATGAAAGGAGGGTACTTTATGCCCGACAAAAATAAACTCTGTGCTCAGATTTATTACAAAATCACGTATTTTGTTGGAGCCATTTAGATCAATTCAATGACGCTAGTTCTAGAACAGCGCTTTATATCGATGCGCGTCATTTGCTGCCAGTTTAAGCTTTAGGATACGGTTTAATAATATAGCAGTACGTTTATTCCGGCAAAGTTATAGTCCGCCAATGATTTAGCCCTCGCTTTGTCCAACGCTGGTCGCTATTGAAGGAATTTTTTCCATTGTGAAGAAAACACTATGAATCTCATGATCATCGTATGACGCCAACTGGACCATTTGTAAAAACCCATTTATAGCCTAAATTGAACCAGTCGAGCAGGCCATCTGTATGATGTTTCGTAGATCTAGATTTCATTCACCCTAGACGTTGCGGATACAGAGATAAAGTGAACCTCATAGGCCCTTTGCTAGTTACCTGCGTAACTGAAGGAGCGTCTTGCTTTAGATAATAATTATTCTCAATGACACACCAAGTACTGAGCTCTTCCTTTGGCTTGTAGTCTATAAATAGAAATTGCGTAGTTTACTAATACATTTTGACGCTAGTAAGAGCTGTCAATCAAAAAATGGCGACAACCTAATAGAGCACTTGAACAGTTCCGTGACGCTATAATCAATCGGGGTGATACTACGCATTTTCGAAGTGCCTTCTGTTACCTGTCGATGGCACAACTTCATCTTCAATGACCACTTCTGCTTTACTTTGGGAAAGACATTTATGTGATGATAAACATAGTGTGTAAACAATTTTCGACCTTTACGCATCACGGCTGACACCCGAAAGGGCGTATAATAACGATATATTGTAGGCGCTCGATGTGAGGTAAAAGCATCACAGATTGTAATCTAGAAAGAGCATATGATTTTGAGATCTACTTTATACGTGGCATTTTCCCCACTGAGAGTAGACCAGATGTTTTAGGATTCGCCCTCATATCACGCTTAGGGACTTGACAGCATTTTTCGGTTCTGGAGTATTCAGATGTCGCTTGACAGAAGCAGTATCTCTGTATGGCTTCTCCTCTAAGGAGCGCCGCCGGGTCATAAAGTGAAAACAAAGTAACCTCATAACGATGAGGGGTACGTGAGGGAGACGTGATACGAAAAAAGTTGTGTGACGAAATTGAAATATAAAAGTTTTGGACTGGCTGGGGCGCTCCACGAGCAAACTGTTGTGACATACACTTGCGCCTGGAGGTGATCGCATGCAGCTTGGGGTTTCTTTCACAATGTGGTGCCGTGTATATTTCCTCGTGCTGCCTATAGATACGCGACAAGAAACGCTAACATCAGACCATAATATTGAATAGGATCGACGTTCAGCGGTGATACGCTTTTGTGGATGTTTGACCGTACTGCTGTCGTAGTAGTATCGCCGTTGTTGCGTACGCAATCCTTTTCAATTTATTCGAGAGCTTCAACAACCCCACAACCCGCGAAAACGTAGGGGCGGGAGATGGAAAAATAAGTACTTGCTCTCATAGCCGGCGCACCGTAATAACTCGACAGTTCATGAGCGATTTATGCGTCACGCGGCTTTATAAGCAATATTTGTAAATTCCGCTCCTCAGTTTCAACAAATCCTCGCGTAGCAACATCACTACAGCACGGATATGGACTAGCAGAATGGTTGTTGTCCTCGACTTTTGTTGATCGTTGAATTAATAATTCATTCCGGTCTAAAACGCGTTCTAGCCACAGGTGCAATTAAATATGAAATCCCACCATCACTAAATTACTAGAGCGACTATGGACATAATATTGGTAATAACATGGTATAACTTGAGCAAGTGGAAAGATCGGCGCACACAGATGCGTCGGTATTTAGCCGTTCGCTTGTTTTGATGTGTATCTATAATAAACTTACTTGCATATAGACGCATCAATATTTATCATGTGGCTATCTGAAGCTAAGGCCCTGTAGCCTATCAATCATGGACAATTTCATACCTATAAGGATTAATAGTGGTGGTTGTTATTGTTGGCACGAGCGTGACCAGCGATAGCGGCAGTAACATTGGACAGGTGACGATACACGGCAACTTTAGCGACTGAACACATTGCAGAATCTGTTGGTACATATATCCCTTCTAATGCTTCTCCCAGTTCAAATGACTTGGGGGTTTTTATTTTGACCACTATACCCCCCTCCCTACTATCGTTGCACCGAGACGAGATCAGAGCGGAGTTGACGGACAGTGCAAACAACTGCACTCATAAATCGACTCAGCTGAGCTAAAACAATTTCGACAGATCGACATCGACCTGGCGTGGGCGTACCTTAACGTTCGTGGACACGGTCCGGGCGGCGTAAAGCTTTACCACCGCACAAACATTTTATTCAGATAGCTGACCTGCCGAGAGACAAAAGACGACAAAGCTATCTTCTCGCCGTCGTCTTCACCGACCACTAACGCAGTACATCACGACTGAGGTAACAAACACAGCGATATCGTCCCTAGACCGTTGCCGAATCACACTACACTCTCGTAAACACCGTCATAGTCAGACACAGCCATAGTCACCAGCCGGTGTCGACCTTCGCTGGCTACAACAGCGCAAACACCAGCAGCGGGCGCCGTCGCAACGCGAACAGTCCAGTTCATCTCCAACAAAGTAAAATACTTTGTTGGGGACGCACTGCATACGTAATTGTCTATTCCGTTATTTTCCAGGAACTTTCAACCAGTAACTGTAGCAATAGTAGCGAAACAGCGCTACTAATAATAATAACCGTTATTCAACAAAAACAACAATATTAACATCATATCCTGCATAGAGGAAAAAGGACGGGGGAGAGTAACAAGGAGATGGCACAGAGAGAGAGAGAGAGAGCAGTAGTGAGGATACTTAACTCAGACGACGGCAGCATCAGTAGCGCAACTCGGTACGCAACGGCGGCGGCGGCGAGGGACAAGACACAGTGTGAGAAGAGGCTTATAACAACGTAACCCGGGGAAGAAGAAGCGGACGAAATTGGCGCCACCGCCATCACTGCTAAGCATGGACCCGCTGAACTGACACCGATGCAACTATTCCACCCGGATAGCTGTTCGGTCAATGGAAAAGTCATTGTCTGCTCAGGTGATCGTCTTAATTGTCGGGAAAATGTTAAAAATGTATAGCTTGGTTTGTAGAATGAAACCGCGCAATCGAATGGCCGCTAATTGCTCTATTATGCTATAGTTAATGTATCTATACACAACGATGGTTAATTTCGAAATTTCGACTCAGAATCTTCATTTTAAGCATCTTTGATTACGTACAAGCAATGGTAGTCTGATATAAGAATTATGGAATTTGTCATATCGATTTCCACGAGATGATTAACGCTTGACAGCACGACCGGGGAGTGAAGGGTATCTATTTTTTTAATAATTTCATTAGCGTAAAAAAATCGCGCTCAGGTTTTTCACGCTTGTGTATATTTTGCAAGGACAGCTAATTAAATCTACCGATAAAGACTTACGACCAACTTCGTAGCTGTTCAATGCTTGGAATGTTTTTCTTGCACACTTTATAGATAAATAGCTTCTTATCGCTAACTATTATATTAGAAATTGTTTGCTTAACTGGCAGCATTTACAAATGTTTTTTATAACGAAATTAATTAAAGTCGCACTTGAATTGTGCCGCGCTTTGTGCGACCGGAGTTTTGCATCGTTTCGCCCTTTCCCAGAACTGTGGACCGCCCGCTAAAAAGGGTGCTTCTACATTTCTGTTTACTTCATTCTCTTTTTTTTTGCTACCATCGAATAACCGTCGAACAGTTCCATTTGAGAGAATATTAAATGTGAGATTAGACAACACTTCGACTGGACACTGTGGAAAAGTAAGTTTACGCTCATTAAATACCCTGCAAGAATCTCTATTCCTGTGGCAAACAGATATCATCATTCGAGTTTGTTACCAGCCACCAGCTGTGGGTTTCAATTAGGTTAGAGCGACGGCTGTGGCTGTCTGCGCAGGATTGACTTGCGTGCTAATTGCATGACTTAAGTACGTTGCTGTAATTCCAGTCAATTAAAAATAGGGAATCTATTCACTATAGATTCAATATAAAACAAGCTTATCCTAGTAATTACTTGAAATCAAGTTTGACAAAACAGAACATAACTACGAGACTCGCGAGTGCATTGTGCGAACGTACCGTTTAAATTCAGCGATCATTTGTTTCACTAATTATATTACCTAACTGCTGTGGTTAATTACAGTGATTGAGAGCACTGTTGTTTTCGCGATTTTAGTTCATTTACATCACTATTTAGTAAAGTAGTGCGGTAGAAAGGGCACAGCATGATGAGAGCTCAATGTTTGACCTTTAGGTATAACTATAGGCTATGCTGCACGATGAATAATTGAGGCGATGTTGCCAGTAAATTCTCTTAGCTTAGCTTACCTGAGATAAATCAGCCAAGTGTCAAGAGTAATTATTGTAATTAAAAAAAAAATCAAATACGTCGTTTTCGACAGAAATTGTTTTGTTTGACAAAACCTAATTTTTTACTATATAAAGGATCTCTTTCACTCACTCATGCCTGCAGTGGGTAAAAAGTTCTATCGAATGCAAAATATCGTTTTAAGCTATGAGCCATGTTCATGCATTTTGTATGTGAACACTCGTAAATTATGCTAAAAGTCGAAAAAACTAGAGTAAAAATATCTTGATTGGACCGATCGGTAATATCCATTGCAGGCATGAAGTCGCTTCCATCCGAACTCTATCATACGGTATCGATAGTAACCCCAAAAAGCTCGGAATTTGACGAGGAATTAGATAGGAGGTGGCACGCGGCTCCCCTTTGGTACCATCTTGATGAAGTAAAAACTCGCATTCTAGAAGGTCGCTACGGGTTCGTTGTTCAACTAAACACTAAACGTTCAGAAAAACGACGCAAACCAGAAGACATTCACTGTACACAACAGCCATTTGATGAAAAAAAGTTTAACTTTACGAAGATCGACGAGAGAGAAGTGCTATTCCGTCGGGACGATGATCTCATCGCAATTAACGTGTCTCCTCTGGAAAAATGCCACTGTTTGGCAATACCATCAGTAAAGGAGTGTTTACCACAAATTCTCACCCCTGCCGGATTGAATTTAACCCTAGACATAATGTTTCGCTCAGCTTCGCCAGACCTACGCGGCGGCTTCAATTCCCTGGGAGGATTTGCCTCTGTCAATCACCAACATTTACACGTCTATTATCTTCAGGTTCGGATGGTTCTCGAAATCGCTCCTGTAGAAAAACTCAGTGCCCCAGGTGTATTCACTTTGGTCGATTACCCCGCCAGGGGGCTAGTCTTTTCAGTCAATGCGGGAGACCGCAGCCCCCTGAATACATTATTTCGCGTTGTTAGTTTACTTAATGAAAATAATATTGCTTACAACGTCTTCACGACACGAGGTTCATCACCCGAGATTAGCTATTTTTGTAAGCCGACGACATACGAAGTTATCCGAATCTACCTGTGGGCTCGAAGACCTTATTTTGGCGTCAAAAGCAGACAGAACTGCGGATTTAATGTTGCTCTTTGTGAGTTAGCAGGACATATTCCCGTAAACGACATGGGCGTCTATAATGAACTCACAGAGGAAACGGTTAGCAAAGAGCTAAGGGTCAATTGTGACGAAGAGTATCGCAAGATGATGGCGCTACTTAAAGACAACAACGTTCTTAGTTAATTCCTGTATTTCGATAAATAGATGAAAAGAATGATTTTCAAGGAAATAGATTGCGTTTTGTATATTATATATGCTTGAAAGAAAATAAAATATATGAAAAACAACTTACTGTTTTCATTTATTTTTACTGTAACTTGTAAAGATTGCGTTGTTTTTATCATGTACTGAATTATACTAAAATTAGGCATACGAAACAATACTAGTGAGTGTGGGGTGGTAACGTGTAAGCGAAGTATTTACATAGTGCAATTGAGGTATGTCTCGTAGGTATTCGCAATGTATAATCTATTGGAATGAAGGAGGTCACCAGGCCCAGCTGCATCTCTGGCCCAATATTTAGATCGAATTATTCTAAAATACGTGAAAATAGATATTCGATTAGAAGAACTTACTCTAGGGCCAGCAGTATGTATGAAGATATGCGGTTGCCTTACCTTCAGGATCGATATTGGCCTGTAATACATAGATTCTAATTAAGTTGTCTAGAGGCGGCAGCAGCAGCTAGCATTCATGAATCTCTGAGGATTTGTATCTAAGAAAATTTAAAGCCATCTGCTACATTCGAATGTTTAGTTGAAAGCCAGACTTCCCGTTCTTTCCGAGCTTATGTTCAGCTTTATAAAGCATGATAATAGGGAATATAGAGTAGAAGTATGTTAATCTGGCTTTTGGCATTATTTTCTCCCCGATCGTATTGAAGACTGGCTATTGTGCTGCGCGTTAGTCAGCTTGGGAAGTCCGCCGGATAAATACACGAGGACATCACGGAAAAATCTATGAAGAACAGCGCTAGAGGATACTTGCCGCGGGATAAGGACATCTTGTCGCATGAGCATGGCCGGATTTTAACGGAAGAAATATCAAACCGTGTGTCTCAAAAACAATATGCAATGCTTAGTGAATTACGATATTCAGATTATTCGTTTCTTTCGGGGCGTAATTAATTAAAAATATTTAAAAAAAAGATTAAGTTTTAAGCAGAAAACATTTATTTCAAAATGCTATTGGAAGTATGGAAAAGTAGCAGAAGAGCCGAGACAATATAGAACGATGCTTCAGGCAGATTTATTTATGCGACTTACAATTAATCAGATAAGAAGTGAGTTTGAAACGGAAGGAATCATTGAAGAACATACCAGAAGACCAAAAATACTAACGAACTTCAAACAGCAATCAAACCATAAGCTTCGCATCAGCAGATCGACTGTTCACCGCATTTGAAGACGTTTACAGCGAAAAAAGTCACATTTAAACAGTCAATTAAACTGTCAATGAAAATGGCCCGGACTGAAAGCAATCATCTTTCGAGTGGTACATGGAAAAATGGGAACGGGATGCACAATTTTCGAGAAAGATTGTTCGGAGCAATGAACCTACACTCAAATGAAATCTTACATGTTATCGCCATAATTGCACATAGTGGGCAGTTGTAAGTTCACATTTTACGCAGGTGCACCGTGACACTTTACACGGTCAACTGCATGAGCTTCCATGTTCCAGTTTTTTATGGGAATCAATTAAACAAAGTTGATGATACTATGAGATTTAACAGCCACAATTTAACGGTAGTAAATATGCTACAATTGGCGGGTCGCTTTTACTCAACCTTAAGAACTCGTCTCCACGATTAGTACTGCAAAAATCAGCTGTATATACAATTTTAATACGATATATGCAGCGATGTTACTTAGACCCGTAAAATACTTGTGCTGTCTATACCAAGGAGGACATAATCCAGTAGTGATTCGGTGATTTTTGCAAACTTCCCTGTATAAGATGCCCCTCATAATGGTCAGACAATCACGAAAATAGTTGACGAACTCATTGTGAGTAGCCATGATATCGTCTACGAACGAAGCGCCTTCTAGCGGACAGTTCTAAAGCACTCAAACAGAAATGGCGGAAAAGGAAGCTCGACGGTTGACCCATGAATTAGCGCGAGATTATCTTTCCATCTACGAAGCTTCACAGAATTTAGCAAGGAAAATCGAGATATTTGTAAGTGGTTGATCACGAATCATGAAAAAAAAAAGGATCGAATACAACATTTTGTACAAATACATGGGTTCCACAGTATGTGGCAAAGCCTAGCCCGACGTGAGAATAAGTGACGCCATGTATTTGGTGATGCTTGAAAAAACTATGCATAATGAGTTGCTGTTTGCCTTTCGACAAAACGACTGATTTGGACCGCGACGCGCTATTGGGAAAATCGACGAGCCCTAGTGAATAGAAAAAATATCGTCTTTCACCGTCACTATACCAAATCACATACGTCTTTAGCTACTCAAACAGCTTTAACGGGGGATTTTAATGCGTCCGTCGTATGGACCTCTCACACTGTTAAAAGATCCTCTGTTTCGGTTTCTGCAGAATTCGCCTAACAGGGTCAATTTAGTTTGGATGTAAAGATGACTTGTCACGGTTTTTCACTTGAAAACCAAAGGAGTTCTACAGAAATTGACTGGATTTTGCTATTACCACCAAAATGGCGGAAGATCAAAATGACACACACAGGCATTCAACTAGTAATATGATTAAAGGTGTGAACAAAATTACTTTCATTTCGGTTTAGAAACGATAAGTTACTGTTCGATAACTTAAGTTTTCTATATATTATAGTGTTAGAGTGAAGATAAATGGAACTGATTTTATCTTGTAGGACGACTGAACTTTGATTATTCGAGTGATTATGTACACATGTTGTTTCGTTGAAACTTATCCGTAATGCTCTGTTTTCAATTTGTTTGCAGTAATTATTACCATGGCTTCAAATGCCCATCTCCGAAGAGCACTTCACTATGTGTTTAAGATTCCGGATCGTTCCTTGACCATGAGATTTTACACTGACGTTCTTTGTAAGTGTTTGGGTTATATTTGCAAGCTGTCTCAACTATCTATGGGCTATTACAAATGTGAGAAATAAGACAATACAGAAACTAAGATGCATTCCGTGTTTTCTTTCTTTTGCTAAGGTAAACCTCTATTTTTGTTTGTTTTTTACTTTATTTGTTGCCGTCAGTTGTTCAGAATTGTTTATTGAAGCAGAAGTTGATGCCTAGTATTTTGTGGCCAAGGCAGTATAAAGTATAAAATACCATTTGGTCCCCTCTTGAAGAATGGTCACGGATATGCGATCGCATTCGCTACAAATAAATGTACGTAATTATTAGCTAACATTTAATTTCGAGTTTGCTAACTCAAGGAGAACAACTTCCTTCTTAATGCGCATGTGGTTCGATACATTTTCAGTGATGCGGGTGCTTCGTCATGAAGAATTCGAGAAGGGTTGCCTTGCAGCATGCAACGGAAGGTTTGTTGTCACGTTCACCCCTTCAGAATTAGACCTCTAAGGTTCTTTCAGTACTGAATCTGACAATTGCTTCAAAAATTCTGTATTCTCAGAACTGTCTGCTCTCGTATTTAATAGGCTTGATCGGATATTCATTGGACATAACTGCAAGCTCTACATTTGCGAACGCATAGCCGCTTTCACTTATCAATGAATTAAATCAAATTTTTCTTGTCGGCGATATCATTGACATTTCGAGTTCATTGTATTGGAAAGAATCTTATTCAACCTGAATCGTGGTTTGCAGATACGATGGGTTCTGGAGCAAGACGATGGTCGGTTATGGTTCTGAAGATGACCATTTCGCTATGGAGCTTATATACAATTACGGTGTGGACAAATATAAGAAAGGCAACGAGTTCAAGGGGATCGTCATTCAAATGAGCAACGTTCTAAAACGGTCGGTTGCGACCTTCTCATAAATTAGCAGAAAATTCATATTCTTTTCATAGTTATCCCTTTGGCGATATAGGTGGGATCGATCGGCATGAGTATTAAGTGTAACGCCGTTAATAACGGTCTTCCATTTTAGCTATGTTTAAACCGCATGCAGGCCTTAAGTCAAATGTTTTGCTTTTGTAGTGCTCAAGAAAATAGGTGGACAGTTCAACAGGAGAATGACAAATCATATGTCGAAGCTCCAGGCGGATTCAAATTTTACGTTGAAGAAGACAGTTCCGAAAGGAAGGATCCCGTGAGACAAGTAAGTTCTCTAAAGGATTGAATTAAGTTGATTGTATGTGTATACTATTTTCGGCCAAAGCATGAAATTCTATCACGTTTGATCTTCGTAAAAGACAGGTTTAGGGATTCTAGCTTTGTTCTCTTTAGCAATATTTTTTCTTAGATATTATGTCCACCTCACCTAATCGTGGTAAAGGCCTATATCAACAGCTGCATTCGTATGTATCAGCGTCGTCTATACGAATGTAAAAAAAAATCAGTAATGATATTACTGAGACATGCGCCTTTATCTTCGACAGGTTATTTACAGCTGTACAAATGTGGAAAAAACACGTCGCTTTTGGGTGACTATGCTGGGGTGCGAGGTGGTGGAAAGCGGCGACGATTTCCTTGAAGTCGCATACGACAAATCTAAAACGTCGCTCCGTTTCGAGAAGATCTTTGAGCCGATTGATAGGGGTGAAGCCTATGGACGTGTGGCGTTCGCATGCCCCCGAAACCAACTACCAGGTGCGAGTTAGGTGTATATTTTTGAGATTTACAACAATCGTTTACTTATTTTTAAAGTCCTAACTAGACCTCTTAGTAGCGAAGCCGATGTCAGGTTCATAGCGGTAGACCATTTGTGGGTCTATTTAAAAAAGTACATTCATATAGCGATTTAGTCCATATGTGGGAGGTGTTTTTGTATTTAGATTTGTTTAAAAGAACTTATCTTTCGAAACTATTCATTATATGTTTCTTTGCTTTGACGAACCCGATAAAACATGTTCTTCTCTCTTTCAAACATCGTAACGACCAGAGCGCAATCCTCCCATTTCATCAACCCGAGAAACGTTGCCCGTGTTTCCGAAGGGACAATAGTATCTTTTTACCTGTAAGTTCTTTTGTGGCTTTAGCTGTTACGTCTAAAACAATGTTTACTCAACGAAAAGTAAAAAAAAACAAGCACGCTTTTCTAAATTGTGTACCGTGGCCTGCTGTTTTACTTCTTTTGTAGAAATCGAAGCCCAGGTGAAAAATGCTGACATAGGCACCGTAATTACTCCACTGGTATCCTTAGAAACGCCCGGTAAGGCATCTGTCGAAGTCGTCATTTTGGGAGACCCAGATGGACATGAGATATGTTTCGTTGGCGATGAGGGATTTCATGAGCTATCTAAGGAGGATCCGGAAGCGAGTCAAGTTCTCCAAGAAAAGATGAAAGAATATGATGCGTACGTTGAAAAAGTCCAAAGAAGGGATCGGCGCTTTTAGATATCTCTTAGAAATTGAAGGTTTATCCATAAAAGCAAATTATCTGCTAATGCGTACGTAATAAACATTCCCCATCAAATTTCAAAAAGGAAGCAGCTGAAACTAATTTAATATCGTATGCACATATATTCATAGTCGATCATAAACATCGATCGTCGAGACAAAAATAGTGAAGGTTCGACGATGTTTTTTGGACTTCGTTTATAGCAAATATATTCACAAGAATACTTGGTGTAAATAAAGAGGAAATAAGCTGGTTACCTGTACCTATCAAACAGGTTCTATTATGGATATACCTTCTAAACGACGGCAAAAACTGCCTTCAAATCACGATAACGGACAACAGCGAAGACGGAACATTATAAAGCTGCAACGGTTGAACGGACCAAAATCTGTGTGTGTTATTTGTTAGTGTAAGAAAACTGATTTTTCGACGAAATATTAAGTAAATCAAGTGCTATGTTTTTCTAGGGCATAACAATCTACACATAAGCCGGCCTGGGCAGAACTGCGAGCTGAGCATGCTATTGATAGTATATTAAAAGTATAAAGCACCTTTTTCTAGTTTCGCACTCTATTATAGCACAGTAAAGATATGCTATTCTACCCAGTGTCGAACATCTGTAGTTTTCACTTGAATTTTTTTAAGTATAAAGAAACAGAAGAAGCAGGAACTTCGTATTATTACTCGAAAATATGAAGTAATAAATCGAAGTGCTCAATGCAATGCTTATACAAGTGTGCCCGCCCATGCATAATGCAAGCTTTTACATATGTGCATTTGAGCATATGCTTGACATGCAGGTAGCTCTTTCCTCTAGCTCGAATTTCTAGTGATATACATGCTTTAAGTTACACAATAGATGAATATTTTTTAACATATTTCAACACATTTTTATATGGTGAAACATCGAGACGTAATTTCAAGCTCCTCCAGTAAACCACTGCCAAATAAACTGAAAGCTCAGAGTAGATATTGCCTCAAAGCTAATAGAATACAACAAGCTCGTTAGGCTGCAAGTTCTAAAATATTTGCCGAGGTGGTACGCTTTAGGAGTATACTAAATATTTGCGAACTCAAAGAACAGCTGTCCAAAGCGAGCTAATTTTACTTTTAATTAGGACGTGGCTGTTGTCCATCAATATTTACCACAAATTTCAAGTCGAGACCAAGCGTTCGATTAAATTCCTATGAAAGCGTCGGAGATATTCTGTTCCTCTGTCTCTGGATGCAACGTGCAGAATCTGGGGGGTGCTCAGTAAGATTTTCACCGAACGAAATAAGTAATGGATAACAGTTCATAGGAAACCGATGCCACGCTATGCTGAAATGTATGTCTGATTTAAACGGAGCTTCGGACTAATTTAGCGGGAGCGTGTCCTTACATATTTTTTTTGCTCTACAATGTTTGTTCTATATTACACACCGTACCCCTGTACGGAACCGTTCCGAGCTTTCGAACTACAGTGTGCGCAATAATCATTAAAAGGCATGTCGAATATTTTGGAGGCTGGTCCAAAATCTATACGGGCGTCAACCCTTCCGTTGGCCTGCTGTTAATCGAAGAAATTTGTTTATTATCATCTGGTATTATTTTGTGTTTTACTACAGTGTGAATATCGAACTTGGCTTGTATACATGGCCTAGTAAGTTAGCTATCGAACAAGTATCATGACGAGCGGTAACAGTCGCTTCTGATATTTTTGGAACCATGAGCTTTTCAGTCCGGTAATCTCCGAAACCGGATAGGCAAAAACCCAAATGCGTACACTTTGATTATACCGACATGAGGTATATGTGTGCTTTACTTTTTTAACGAACAGCATCGAGTACGCAGTTCCTAATCTTTTTGTCTACTACCGTTGTACTCATTGTGAACTCCATACAATTGTATTGCTGTAACAGAAAGGCTTTTCATGATAGGCTAAGCATACAAATTCGAGGCCGTGATTCCTGACTAAAGTTACGTGCTCATTAATTGCAGTTCCGGACGTTTTGAATCTATAGATTAGAGCCGATTTTTTCTCCAGTCAGGTTTAGAGCCAATATGGCGTGGTGGAGGCTTCGATAGCATTTTTCGAAGTAGCACTCTATACAGTCATGTAATTACATTGCCATTTAACAATACGCCTTTGGCTCCCGTTCCTGTATCTCAACAAAAGGAGATATAAAACTATCGAATTAAAAAGCGAACCAGAAGGATTGAAACTATCGAATATTACGAAACCTTTGCCGATTGGGCCTCGATACAAGGCCTGCGGGTACGCCTCAGTCTACGGGACCTGACGTTGTAATTAAGCTCAATATATGAGATGACCATGCAGAAGAAAGAGCATGACGCCTCTGCTTTCAAGCTGCAAACTATCGACGAACGCTATACGAATGCTAATGATGGGCTTCAACGTTTATTTGCAAGGGAGTTATTGATCTAAATCTGTACTGTATCGTTACCCAAGAAAACCTAAAATTACCGATATAGTTATATGATCTCCTATTCCGCTACTCGAGCTACGAGAGACGAGGCGCGGCCAACGACGATGGTTTCGCCTAGAAGTTACAGAGTCTTGCTACTGAGATAAAAAAAATTACTGCTTTGTATTTTAATTTCCAATATCTTCGAGTAGTGCGGCAGCCGCATTGGCAATGGATAGCGGCCCTTCTGCGCTATGTCGGGCATTTTTTGCTATAGTCAATGCCACTAGCTGGCGTTTGGTGCATTTTGACAGCGAGCGGATATTACAACCTTTCCCGCTCTATGAAGGCGAGGAACTAGCGACGACAAATATTTCCTCACTGGAATTAGTTTTGCGGACGCCAGAATGCTACCATGCTACACAACGGAATTCTATATTATTGTACAGTAATGTGGTAAACACAATGGCATTGGCAGAAAGAGCTGTATCCGATGGTCGGCAGCTACTTGTGCTTGTGTTACGGATGTCTCCAGAGGAGTTCGCATCGTTTCAGAGAAATGCCCACAGAATGCCTTTGACACGCTGGCTTTTCCTTCGCGACTCTATACCGGACGATATTTTTGAGGAACAAAAAAATTCGAAGCTGTTCAGTCGTGATCCTTTCTATCGCTGTATTATGTATATCGAACAACCGGCTGACATCAGTGTTCCGGTAGACTGGAGAACGTGTGCTCATCAGACGATTCAACTAATGGACCCGCAGCCTGAGACTTTTCATTTTCGTATCAGTCAGCTAATTCACGTATGTCGAGAATACTGTTTTGAACATCGCGATGGTGATAGACTCATCCGAGTATTTGCCGCGTTGGTAAACGCCAGCCGAGTTGTCAAGGTGGATGTGAGTGGCGGATCAATGATTCAGACTAAAAAGAATGCACTGGCGTTCAAACTACTCAGAACGAGACGCACCGATATTGGTATGCGACTTTTTGCCAGGCACGTCGATCGTCTGACGGAGATTGACTATCTCAAAACAATATGGTGGTCAAAACTCGTTTTCTACAGTTGTCGTAATAAACGGTATCGGACGGGTTCTGTCGGCCTGTTTCAGATATTCACCGCTCCATGCTGGCTAATGATTGGTTTTAGCTTCATGGCCTGCGTCGGTGTAAACAGTATTTCGCGAACTTTTTCGGATGCCTTCATAGTGACTATTGGGATGTTTCTACAAAAGCCGAACACAATTTTTGCAGGGAACCGTTTCATCCATGTTTCTACAGTAGTAGCCATATTTGTCATATACAGCATCTTTCAGCAGATGTTAACATCGTATTGTAACGTTCCCGTGTCGGCAACGCTCGAAACTGTCGAAGACTTCACTCGAGCCTTGGCTAAGCCACACACAGTCGTATGCTTTCTCGACACGGACTTCACATCAGATATGGTTAACGAAGGGGCAAGCAGCGTGTTTCGCGCTGTTAGCAATCTTCAAAAGGATAATCGAGTCGTACGGGTAGCCAGCGAAGACTTATGCCTTGCCAAAATGTTGGCAGGATGCAACATACTGAGTCTGCTGGCGGATTGTGACAATTGCGCGTTTAATCTAGCTCTGGACAGGGGTAAGGAAGAGGTCAAATCAATAATGAGTTCGTACGCGATCACACCAGGATTTCCTTGGAAGCATCGTCTAAACCGGGCCATAGCTGGCTTGTTTGAGGCGCACTATTTTGAGGTCCAGACAGACTGGAAAGCCTTCAATGCATCAGCTCAAACCCGGAAGAGTCAAAGGCAATCGAATGTACACGATACGTTATCGCTTGACGTCGACTACCGCCTTCAACTGAGGGATTTCTGGTTTCAGTTTGTTATTCTATTAACTGGTTTAACCCTGGCTAGTGGAGTATATGTAAAGCACTGCATCGAATACACGATTCGGAAAGGGCATACATAGTATGTCTAGTCGACTCATGTGAACCAAAGCTAATATTACAAGACACGTTTCAAAGAAGATGGAAGGTCGTCCCCAAGTAGCATGTAAATCATTCCTACGGAACTTCAATAACGGCTGCTATTTTGTGGGTCAAGTTTAAGTTACCTGCTGATTTTTATTACGCATGCCTTTATACATCCGTTTAAAATTATGATTATGGTCCATGTAGATATATGAAGAATGGATAAATCCATTCAAAAGCGGGTATTTTTGAATGCATAGGACTTCACCACGTGCATCATGGCTATCGTTGTCAAAATGCAGTAGCACTGTCCCCGTCGTTTAATTAATGATCCTTAGTAATTAAAAATTTGTAGGAAAGCTAGATTTGCCAAGAGTTAGATAAGTTCTAGCCCTAATGAGCCTAATGACAGGCCCTAATAAAGAAGACACGTTTGACGGCGAGAGCTCCGCAAGTCTATTCTAAGTAACCTACAAGCCATCTGAGAAATAATGTGAACTTTCGAGTTCATTTCTGAGAGTCTACCATATCTCAAAGGAAAATTATATTTCGTCTTTCCCTCTGCTGTTTTGCAAAAGCTCTCTCGTGTCATGCATTTAATAAGCGACTGGTCTGGTCAAAGATGTAATTAGATCGTTAAAAAATTTCTCATGTTTTTTTTTTTATAGTAAACACCGAGTGCCTAACGTAGTGTAGAATTTGTTTCCAGTATCCTTTGCAGCGTATAAAGCCCCACGCCTCTGAGCGATGGAAGCCGCGAAAAGACTACAGAAATAAAAGACAGCTGAGGATTATCATCAAATACCTGCTTCGTTTAGTGACTATAAAATATCCGTCACCACGAACAGGTGGCGTTTGGGCAGAAGGAAGAGTGCACTTTGATCTCTGTCAATAAAAAAATTGGCATCCATTTAGACTAATTACAAGTTAATGTTCATTATTTAGTTTTTATTTAGCTAACTAAATAATTATTTATCGGCTAACTAAGCTATATTAAATGTGTTTACGAGACAAGCCAGGTGCTTTTTATCAAAACAGCGCATTTGTGTCATACAAAGTATTAACTAATGAGATTACTTAGTGTAATAACGATTCTCGAATTTCTCGAAGGAGGCGCAAAAATCTGGGTGGTTGGTGCATCGGTTTCCGTGGTGTAGTGGTTATCACATGCGCCTCACACGCGCAAGGTCCTCGGTTCGATCCCGGGCGGAAACAATGTTTTTTTAAAAACTGTATACGTTGAATGAAGCTTCTCATGTATTATAGTACGCAGCAGCAAGTTTTTGTTACAGATATTTATAGGTTAGACGTCGGCTTAATATCCAATGCGACACAAAACGGTTGTAATCTTCAATTGTATCATGCAAAGATCGGATATGCAATAACGTGGCACTCAATGCGACTGGCCTCTCACTGGAACAGCGGAATATTGAGCCTTCTTGAAAGCTTATTGTAACCACGAAATAAATTCCGCCGCAACGAAAGGTCAGGCAAGTACATAAAATAATAGAAATTCCCAGCTCCACCTTTTATTGAAACTCTTAGCCTGTCGTTTGATCTTTGAAAATGTAAACTATTATTTGTTTTCATCCGACGGCTTGCTATAAGTGCATACAAATGTACGCTAGCAGATTTTGTTGGAATCAACGCTGCGTACTACGACAATGAATGCCACACCATTTGTTCCTCTGCTCATACAAATATTTATCTATTTCAGAAACGTAGCGAAACGTGAATTTGTTTGCCCTGCAAGTTTGCGGAACGATGTAGACGAACTTAGGTGAACGTTCGGTGCATTTCTCCCGGTTGGCAAGTTTTTAACTTGAGGTCCATGTATTGATTGCATACATAAATAACGGCACGACATAGGGTTTCAGATAGGCTCACAGGGACCTATACGAAAATGACCTCAGTATGACCTGAATTGCGTATTCTCATTACCCGTTTTTGTTTTTCGCTCACATTTGCTTTGAATCTATTGTCTGTTCACGTATGCGCCTGTTGTAGGATAAGTGAATACTTCTTTTGAATAACGGACTCGAATGCATCAAGTTCCCACTGACAGTTAGCGACAGACATATAGACTGGCAGCCAGAGAGCGTAATTTCGAAGTGCAGACGCTAGACCATACAATTGCATTGCCTTCTTGCCTGAAAGCAACTGTTGTTTTGCCACTTAGATTAGCTTGATAAAACTAAAAAAAAAAAAAAAAAGAAAAAAACACTTCTTCCTATGAGTACCATCTTTGGATATTAACAAGATTACCGCTCTCAGACCGAGTTTTTCGAGAACGGAACAGAGTTGGTACTATTGACACCGCTTGCCCTGTATGGGTCTTGGTATACGTGATGGCTATCGGTCACGCAATGGGGAAGGGCGTTTACCAATTGCCACTCCTGTGTGATGTGGCACTGTTCATGCGAGTGGTAGTGGTTGAGCCAGCATAGAGCCAAGCAGCCTCGACGGGGGGGAGAGGGCAGCTGAGCCCGAGGGCGATACGAAGGGTTTGTTGACAAGAGAAACAAACGGACAGGCATCGTCGTAGAGGACGACACTAGTCAGCGAGTGCAATTAAGTTGAACTGCAATTTTTTCATTTGCGCGGGAACAAGCAGACACTTTGGACTAAATCAAGAAGATTTAATTGACATCGCAATCGGTGTTTAAAACAGCGGTTCGAGTGAAAAACTTGACGAGTGGACAAAGCGTGATCCCGGTGGCAACCGGCGGTTCGACAAGGTTTGTGCGGCATCGGCCTTCTCGTAGATAAATCCCCCAGAAGGATAGAAATGACTTTGGATAAAATATACGTAGCATTATCAGGTTTGACGAAAAAGAGAAATTTACTTGAAACCCACGCAAAACGCTGCGGTCACTGATGTGTTCGTGAAGGGAATGTAGCCGATATCTGTCAAAAGTGTGTTATTTACGCGTCTATCTAATAATCTAGTTGTTCTAAAGGCGGACATTTTTTGGGTCGTATTTTGTCAGACTGTGATGTACTACGTACGTCTTCGTCGTGTAAGCTTTTATGAGTTTTTGTCAATGTTCATGAGATGTGATGGGTAACCAAGGATAGTTCTGAAAGACCTTTCATTAATAGAAAAGCAATTTGGCCAGAAATTTCGAATTGATATGCCCCAGCTAATTGATTAGATAGCTACGATTTGCGTACAGTTCACCATATAACTGGTAAATATTTGTAGTAAGTATGGTTCTACCGTGCAACATTCATCGACTAATCAAAGAAGAATCCCCTAATTTCAATTAGAAGCCGATAAATGCATTATGAATATGAAGAACATGAAGAATGTCCAATGGATTTTTTTAACAGGCGACAAAGTTTCCTTGTTTTTAATCTGTGATTTGAAAAGTTGCGTAACTTGTACTTGTTTGTCATTCAGTTTTGAAGTTCTAAATAAAAGAGTGAGGTTGAGCGTTTCAAGAAGATTTTCAGCTCTTTAAAATATCATTAGCTTTGCATGCTCGGCAAATAGGCAAGGTGTTTTCCATCGACCTTTTACAGGGGCATGGCCACCCGCCAATGGACTACCTCGTTTCTCGCGCTGTCTATGGAAAGCGTCCCAGCGGCCTTCGTTACGTGTTTACTTACGGAAGTTTACTTAGAATCACTGCTGCTTGATGCACGATCATATCGATACTAAGTGATTACATTTAATCTAGCTCGACCGATCAGCTGTTGGGGTCATTCGCCCTCACCTGCAGTGGAAACGATACTGACAAGTGATTATGTCCGTTGCCGAGCGGAATTACTTTCGATTGATGTATGACAACGATATCAAATAGATCACTTAATGGACAATAATGGTAATTCCAAACATTAAACATTAATATACAAACCTTTGCGCCTTTTGAAACTCGTGTCCTTTACATGTGTACATTACTCACTGTGGTGATGCCTATTGACCTAAGGACTTAATAAAGGGTAAAGTCGATATTACTGAAAAGTACATCTTTCTCTTTGTTGCTATGACTGGTACAACTAATCGGAAGTAGAATTGGAAGAAGTGAGAGTTCCCACGTAAAAATCTACTTTCCCAATGGTTGCCTCAATTCCGAAGTGGACATATATATACCGAAATGAGTCTTTTCAAACAGAGAGAATGATCTTGTGATATCGTTCAATTCATTCGATTAACTTCAATTCTGAACTTATTGTTTTATATGTTTCACTTTTTCACCTGCAATGGTTAAGTTTACAGGGAACGTTTCTTAGGCGATTTGCGAACTGTTGGCAGGGGTACCAAAAACTTACTAGTACATCTTGCTATTTGTTCTATTGTGCACAATGATTAGAATAGACTGGCTTACGATTGTAAGCAACCATATTTGCAGAGAAAGCTAGTGAAATATGTTGCAACTGGCATCATTCGGCAAGTACATTCGGAAATCTTGGCCGTAGTGGCAGCTGTTTACGTAATTGTTGTTACACGTATTAGATGCACCCTCAGCATAAATTTTTCATAAATTGTATCAAAAACGGTACCTCGTTATTTTATGCGCTATCCTTCGAAGTAACGACGCGTAGCGGCTAATACTATCATTACGTCAGGTATATAGAATGACAGTAGTCCGTTCCTATTCTGAAATAATTGAGGATTAATTTTATCATAAGGCCAGCCAATATGCACGCCTTGCCTGTCCTGAGCTACATTTAGCGAGCTGTACCCCTTACAACATTTGCTATAGAATCGCAAAACGGAATTATTTGCTTAATAATTGACGTCGATTTGATCGCCGAAAGACACTACGCGGCGCTTTTTTTTTACGTACAAATAAATACATAATTTAACACTGTAGGGTTTATCGGAGCCAAGAAAAATAGATCCGATATTTATTTGCGCGATTATTTCATTCCTAAGCGGTCATAAATAGATGCAATCAGCTTCGAGTGGTAATGACCAGGCCCGAAAATTTTCTGAGAATCTGCATGGGCTTGGTTAAGCAGCCGTAGAAATCTTGAATGATTCGGATTCCGCTTGTCGAACCAGCCGGCATTCAGTGCAGCAGTGAACATCTGACAGATGAGGTACAAATGATCAACTGCGGCGATATCCATCTTTCGGTACGTTCTCGTTAGCTGTTCCCCAATCCTGACTGCGTCTACGGGCATCTCGAGTGTTCCATACAAGCCGAAGAGTCCTACTGTAACAACGAGCTTTGTGTAATCGTTGTTAGCAAGTGATGCTATACTGGGAGATGCCAGGAACTCCTTTATTTCAATGAGCTTCTGCTTTGTGTCAGGTCGTGCTCGAAGCTGTTGAGCTTCCTTGACGAGCTTCTCACTGGCCTCGCTGACGACAACCTCCTGGCCAAGACAACGTCGACAAGCGCAATCAAAAAAATACTTTTCCTTCAGCTGAATCCTTCGAAGTTCTCTTGGCAAGGTGGAAGGAACATAGCTAATGTTTATATCTTCAGGACTGTTCACTTCTAGATTTTCCATAGCCTTAATAACGAAGTGACCTCCATCAAAATAGTAGGCGATTCGATGGTCAGGCGCACACGCGTGGTTGAAGACAGAGCCTCCTAAAAAGAGTGCGCAGCCTATAGTCCCGTCCCAGGACATGATTTTGTGGGAGTTGATATCCAGTTTCAGAAACACTGTTAGAAGGGATTCTTCATCAGGCTGATCTCTCTCGCATAGAAATCGATTGACCTGCAGTGGATAAGCTAAGATTAAAATTCATGGCAGCATAAGTGCCGCACAAAGAATTGCCATATACTTCTTCTCCGATTGGTCGATTCATTCTTACTATAGTGAAATGTTAAAAACTCGCTAATACTTTAAAGCTTTTCTAAATGGTACATGAAGGCGGATGTTATGTTCTCATGCGGATAAGTATCTCCAAGCTCGAACAGCGCGAGGAACAGAGAAATGCGTACTTGACTTCCAATCTCCTTAAAGACGTTCTGCATAAACTCAAGAGCCCTTGATTCGCGGTGTGTCATAAGGCCGACAAACGTCCGGGTCCTTCCAAGGACCACTTCTTGAGACGGTGCAGTTGTTTCGCGACGGCTCCGCGTCCAGACTCGACACAACAGTCGAATTTCCGATGTAGGAACCCATGGTGCGACGCGACGGAGCGCATCGCACTCAATGCGATGATCAAGAGCGTCGGCATCCTAAGAAAAGCAGTGTATTTCAAAATGAGTGACGGCCAAGATGAAAAATTATAGAATACGCCAACTATCAGTAAAATAACCTATTACCCAATATAAAATCTAGATGCATCTTCAGATGTGGACTCACTCAGTTTTAAGGTATCGAGCCGATCTCAAATCCAATAGTTTAGTCCGGGGGCTTAGCATTTACTATAGGATACATATTAGTTTTATGTCTACAAATGGCATAACTTGCCGTTGTGTGTCGTAGTTGTCAAACACTTTCGGGCAAAACTGGGTGTGAGTTTAGCTCATGCATCTAGGTCTAATCTGCATAGTAACGTAATTCTTATTGAATTTGGCCGCAAAAAATTATGTATCGTGCACCGTTAAAGGCCTCGTAAGAACTTGTTGAGTATCTGGCTGATCGCTTTAAATAATACGCGAATGAAGGTGGCAGAACAAGGAACAATGCTTTAAAAAAAACCTCGAACTTCTCAACCTGGCACCTTTACCTTACCGGCCTTACATCTTGTACATTACCGCCAGTAAAACCATATGTTTTTTCGCTGGTTTTGTCACTGATTGTATACGTAGTCGATCATCACTGCGGTGTGGAGTAATTACATAAGCAAAACGTTCTTTATTTACGATTATAGAGCCAGGGTATTCATTGCCGAAGATCTCAGGGCTGGCAGCCGTACTATGTCCTCGCAACAGGCTGCGGTTACCTAG